AAAACATTTTATTATTAATAAAAAAATGTGATTATATGATGATCAGACATTATTATGTTATATAAATAAATGTGAATGAAATATCTAATAAAACTCACTAAAAACACAAATAAAACACACACCAACACTCGCCAAACCTAATCAACAATAAACAATAAACATGAACAAGAATGACATGAAATGATTCATAATTGCAATTGTCAAAATTTATTCTACAAAATCTTTGTGGCGACATCTATAGACTCTCTCCCCAACTTGTATATCCATTTCAAGTCACGTGGTTCCCAGTTTCCCCACATTTTCAAGTATAAGTTCTCGGGCCCTGTCGCTAGTATCACTTGTCACCGCCAGAGGGCGACCTCTTAGCTGCATTCGCGAATTCACCTACTAGACGATGTTAGATGTTTCAAATTGAGGTTAAGATATCAGAAAAGACCTACTCAACGCTATTTGATGTCTGAATATAAATTTTTTCACTTGCTAAGAAAATTAGAAACAAACCTGGTTGAAATAAAGTTTATTATCAATTTAATACATCGAAACTAATAATCTAAGGCACATATTAAAGCAACCCCGCGCTTTATCCAGTGAGGCTCCGACTTTTCCGTCGGCACCTCGATGGCTAAAACGTAATTCGTAGAATGCCCCGTCGTCGAAAGCGTCCCCGCTCTCGTTAGAGTTTTGTAAACCGGGCACTCGTAAGTGCCTTCCGGTTTCTTATGACTCTCCTCGGGTATCAACCACACCACCGGCATATCTGAAAGAAAGACGCCATTTTCATTACTTATGATTTACCGTCTTTGTAAATTTGCAAGCAATGAATATCGAAACAGTATGAAATTAAAGCAATACGGTAAAAATGTAACAAAAAGAGTTCACGTTTGTTTCGTTAAATGGTGACGGGTTCATTTCATATAAATTTTTAAATTTTGGTTGTTGCTAGTTAAATATTCCCAACGATGAGATATTAATAACGGTATGATTCCACCGGATTGTACCGGACGTAAAACACAAGTTTTTTTTTAAATTAAATTTCCGCGACTTACTTGTGTACAGCTCCTTGGGGTTGGATTCGTCCAGTATGGCTTTGTTGTAATTCCACCTCGCGCCCTCTAGGAACAGCCCGTAAATGCAACACCCGTCCTTGGGTCTTTCAGTGGGCGACGTAGGCAAAACCTATAAAATTCCGATTCTAAAATTCCGTTAACACGACTACTTTATGCGTACCTGAAAACCAAAATTGATGCTATCGATCGACATGATGTATTTCCGGGCGAAATTTTGCAAGGTGCCCGTCAGGAAGGCCTGGGGGAAGTAGAACCCCGATATCCAAAACACTGGCGGTATGCCGCTGTCCACCCACTTGTTGAGGAACGTCACCCTCGCTTTCAGATCCGTCACCCACGCGGCTGCAAAAAATGGCTAAAATTTTCCACTCCGATTAATAATTTCTTGAATACCTAGAGGTTTTAGTGACGGATACGCCTTGCTAGCCCATAAAGCCGGGACTATATTGCTAAACAAGCTCGACGTCATCCTCTCCAGAGCTTCCGACATAACAACCAAACCCTTCAAGGCTCTCAGTAACTCGTTCAAGGTGAACTTTATAACGGTGAGCAGTTTGTTGTACCTGATGGCTTCTTGGATTATGACGGTGTTTAAGGATTCCTCGTACTTCACGGGATATCTGATTAAAAAGATCAAAAACTGTACGACGCCGACTAACTAAAAGGTATCAATGTTACTTTTTGGAGATTAGCTCTAAATTGAAAAGTGGCGGCATCTGCGCTAGAATAGTTCTGGCCGAAGACGCCGTGACATCCTCCTGGCTGGCCGCGGCGCCGCCGACTTGCTTCGGTTGCAATTTGAGCAACGTCGACAGGCAAGCGTACGTCTGCGACTGGGCAAACGTTATGTCCGCGTTCGGGTGCAAGCCGAACAGTTCCGGATCGTCGTTTATGGGGAAGGTCTTTATGTACTCGAGGTAGTCGAGGAATACGGTGTCTGTGGGTGACTGAAAACGGGCAGCTTGGTATTACAAATTCGACAAATCTAAGCAGTTTTTAATCATGAATCAACTTATACAAACCCTTATATTTGTCCAAAAGAGGGCGCTGAAGTTCTAAACAAAGTATTGTATATCTCTAATTTTTTTTATTGACACTTTTATCTAGCAATTTAACTTTCAAAAATTGCCAGCTAGTCGCAGTATATTTATAATCGAAAAAAAAAAGGAAAAAATCTTACCATTCAGTGAACACAACCTAAAATTATTTAGTTATTTATTCTACTACCCAATATTCCGTTCTCTCGCTCTAAAGCAGTTGAAAATACGAGAAGATATAAAATGGTGCCATAAACAGGCTCGGATATTGAAATTCACTGGATTCACAAGTTTTGTATAGAGGGTTGCCTAATCTGCAGGCTGAATCTTTATATACAGCTATTCAAACACCCTCATGTTATGCAACCAACTATACAGCTGTGTACAAATGTAGTATACCTGTATAACAAGTTGCAGTTTAATTTTAACAGGGCTCTATAGCATATAGGCAACCAGCAATACATTTTTATAGGTTTTATTACACAGTTTGTCTAAATATGAATTAATGCACAAAATAACAGACTTTCCTCCATTCTAACGCGGGTTTTCTATAAAATGTACTTAGTTTGAAACTCAATTTACTTTTTGTTGTAAATAAATTTGTAATTTGCTGCATTTGAACATCGTAAATTACAAATTCCTTTACAACAAAACGTAATTTGAGTTTCAAACCAACTCCATTTTATAGAAAATCCGCGTTGGAATGGAGGAAAGTCCGTTATTTGTGCATTAATTCATATTTAGACAGACTGTGTAACAAAATCTATAAAAATGTATTGCTGGTTGCCTATTTGCTATAGAGCCCTCTTGAAAATAGTAAACATGGTTTGATTTATTCACGATTCTACTTCCTACTATTTTGGCACCGGAACATATCGTTTTATACCACATATTTACGTTAACCATAAAATTACACCTTACCTGTCGGTAACTTCCGTCTTTATCGAACACGTAGTTGGGATCGACCACCTCCATCTTATAATAGTCCGCGAGGACGTTCATCAGACACCTCCTGTCCCAATCGTCCGTCACCCTGCCGCTGTAATTGATGTGACCCGCCGTGTACGTCAGCACCTTGAACGGGATCTCCACGTACTCCAACAGGAACATGTGCAGCTGAGATATGCAAATCTTTAAATCCCCGTCGGTAAACTCGTAGGGAATGTTGAAGCCGAGCGGTCCGAATTTCCTCCGTTCCAGCACGACCCCGTGGAAGAGGCACAGGGAGAAGACCAGCAGCTTGAATTTCGCCGCCTTGGGGTGTTCCGACTGTATGAAATCCGCCAGGTCCGATACCTGGTTCCGGTAGGCGCGCATCATGTTGGCTTTTATGCCCGATGGGGGTTCGATGGTCATCTTGCTGCCGTTCTGCAGGATGGCGACGGGGAAGTGAGGCGAGGGGGTGGACGTGAGCCAGAGCCGGAAGTCTCGGTGGACCGCCTCCGGCGGGATGGACTCTATTATGCGCTCCAGGCGGGGCATCCAGCTTGGGGCCAGGTGGCAGTTCTATAAATGAAGTCGCTGTAATAGTAAGAAACGGGGACCGGGAACAGGATCCAAATCTTCAGATTAAAATTAATTATTTTACTGAAAACGTTATTAATTAAGAAAATTGTGATGCAACATAAAATAGATCCAAAATTAAACAATTGGGTTTATTTTGTGGGTACACATGTTTGCAAGTGACCCATTTTCAGTATTATGTCAAGAGTGCTAGCTGACACTACCCGGACCGGTTTAACAGTTGCAACAACAAAAAAGACGCGGGACGCAATAGGGTTCCAGAAAAGGTCCATGGCAGATTGGCGCCAAGGACCAGATACTTGTACAAACGATTCCACACCAAGATGACTCTTCAGCCAACGCTCGCCCCGACAATACTTATTCTTTTTCACTAACTTGGTTTCAATAAAAATACTTTTATTTTTCCATAGAGAGAGTTTTATTCTGCTGCACACCGAAGCCCCCTCAAATTAAAAAACAACAAAAAACGTTTAAAATTCGCCATTATTGAAAAATAATAAACAGGAAGTTTAAAAAACACAAATATTTTTGAAAAATCGTAATTTTTTTTTAAAACATAATTTTTACCTGAAAGAAAACCCAAGACCCGACCTCGGACCCGCTCTGTATCAGCTTCTCGGCCATGGGGCCCTGCCCCTGTCCCAGGGAAATGGAGAACATCCTCTTGGAGAACTTCATCCGATCCGCGAACTTGTACAGCTCCGCCGCGGGATCCGTACCGGTGGAGAGGACAAAGATGAGCGGTATCGTCGGTCCGGACTCTTTGAACATCGCCGACAGATCCGAAGACTGGGGCTCGATAAACTGCTGGCCCAGCTTCAACGACAGGAAGTCCTGCATGGCGTTGGTCACCTTGTCGGGACGCAGGCTCTTCAGGACGATTATCTTCTGGAATTCGTCCATCGTGGTGTTCAGCTCTTGCGGTAATGGGAGGCTGTGGTAAAATCCAATGAGCAACTTGTATACAGGGTGTCGCGCTTAAATCTGATACAAGTTAAGTAAGTACAGTTTCTTTATTTCTTGACCGATTAAAAAAATTTTTTTTTTAATGTAGGATAAAAATCTATCTAACTGTAATGCTGCCGTTTTTATTAATGCAATTCACGGCCAACTAGGACGCGCTTTTTTGACGTCAAAACATTGGTATTAACGATTTTTTTTCCAAAAAACGGATTACGTATTCTCATTCAGCATTCCTTAAAACGTCTTATCACCAAGATTCATCAAATTCGATACATCTTCAGACGAGCACTAGTTGGCCGTGTATTGCATTAATAAAATCACCAGTATCACAGTTAGATAGTTTTTTTAGCCCACATTCCAAAATAAAAATTTTTGAAATCGGCCAAAAAATAAAGAAGTTACAGGCTTATATCATATTTAAGCGCAACACCCTGTATATATTTTTAAATGTTTATCCATATGTAGCTTTAAAGTCTTTAATTTTTTACTACTGTTAGTTGTTCTAAAAGAAATTAAATTTTCATATAATTAAATATTTCATAAGATATTTAAGGTGAAAATAATGAAAAATAATCGATTTCATTTATTACCGATGTGGCTCTAGGCTCTCGAATATGTGTTTGTAGTGGTCCGCGTAACGGGGAAAGGTATCGATAAACTGTTTGAACTTGGGCAAGGACTCCAAGGCTAAAATCTCCTGCCACGCTTTACTGGACAGCCAAGTTGGGGCGGGATTGGGCAGGATCTAATAAAAATATACAGGGTGTAAAAAGTTTGATTGCCATTACTTCAGCATGAGATAGAGTAGTCGTAAATGAACACAAAAGTATTAATATTGGGGAGTTTCATCACAAGGTGACAACAGCGCTACACAGCTAGTGCATACCACATGTGCATGCGGCATACTTGTCCTACGGAAAAAATGTAAACAACTATTATTGTGAAACATTTAGTAAGATTCAAATCAATTGTTTTCCAGTTTTTAAATAAATAAAATAAAATCTATCAATTTTGGAGTACAAGGATAGTGTTGTGCTAAAATTTTAGCTCGAATTTTAGTAATTATGAATCTCTTAAAACAGGTCGAAATGGATACGTTAAAATAATAAAATAACGTACGCTGCTAGCCGATCCGCCGGCCAAGAAGTGGTGCCACTCGTGCGGGTCTATCTCGCCGCTATCCATTAAGATGCGGATGCACAGCAGAAAGGCAAAGTGCAATTTGTTCCTCTCGAAGAGGCTCCTGCACACGTTGCTGTACAAGCTGAACGTAAAGTAGTCGTTGATGATCTTCACTCTTTCCTCGATAATTGCTGGAAAGTGTGGTAAAAATTACGAACAGTTTTTTTTCGCAGTTTACATATTTCGCACACTACAAATTGGAAAATTAAAAAAAAACTAGTCTGTAATTAATGGTTTACATGACACAACAATTAATTTCTTCGGAAAATGAAACTTTAATGAATTTATTGAATATTTTAAGATTTTCCAGATTTTTTTGTTAATTTTTTTAAAATAAACACGGAATTAAAAAAAAAATTCAGAACGGTACCCGTTTTCTCCGTCTCCGCCATGCTGGATATGAAAATAGAAACGAACCACTCCAACGAATACTGATACATTGGATCAATGTTGGACAAATCGGCAAGGCAGAAGAACAAAATCTGGGCCCTGTTTGCCACGGGAATGTACAGGGCTCGCGTATTATCGATGTCAATTTGTGTAATCTCCGCAGACTCGACTTTATTCTGGAAAAAATTTAAAGGAACGACCAGAAAGTCCACGCTAATCTAAAACTCAGACTTGTGCTTACCTTTATGTCATCGCTCTTCACTTTTGAGGCCTCCAAAGTTACTATGAAGTCTAAATCGTCGAGCGGCGACCCCTCGGAGGTGCTCAGCTTCAGCAGGATCCTGTCCTGGATCTCCTTCAGCTCGTGGTTCATCTGGGCTATGCCCACGACAATCTGGCTCCGCTGCTCCTCCAGGTCGGGGCGTTCCTGCATGACCACCAAGGCTAGCAGCTGGTCTTGCAGGCCGCTGAAATTGGCGGTTGATATTCAGGGTGTTTCGGCCCTAATCGGCCAAACTAAATTTGAATTTTTACAGTCCAAATATGAAAAAATATACAGTGTTAATTAGTTTTTTAAAACGCACTTTAATACTTGTGTACGCCGCTGCAGTAATCACGTTTTACAAATACATGAATTGCAGGCAACTTACAGTGCGTGCGAAGGGAGATAGTGCTGGTAAACGGTGAAGAAGCGAAGGGCATCAGTTGTTAGCTATTTTTAGAGGTTTGTGAAAGTTGCGTTTTAAGAATTTCCATGAAGTCTGAATCCTGAAAAAACTATACATACCTTGGAACGAGCGTGAAGTTAACCAACAGCACTTTGATGGACACTTCCGGGGTATAGTGGGGATTGGGCAGCTTAGTCGTTATAAACAATTTAAAGTTATTGTCGTAGGGCACCACCACGTCTCCCAGCTTCACGACCAAAGTTCCGCTCTGCATGTAAACCTGTTTGAGAAGTACCGGATCCAAAGCGGGATCCAATTCCATCCCGACGTTTTCGATCAGAACCGCCTTGCCAAAACGAATCGCCGACTCGATAGTCCTCATGAGGTCCTTGTCAGCAAGCTTGCATATCGTCAGACCCATTTGTTTACCCTAGACAGGAAACCCAAGTTATTACACAACTGAAATGTCGATAAATTATTATTCACCATATTTTTGACCCACTTGTTCGCCTGACCCTGCGGGTCTATGAACAGCGGCCACCTCCTCGAACACGACACCAAAACGGCATTCTCCGTAGACAGGTAGTCCCTGGGGAGCCCGTCCAGCTGCCACAGCCTGATCTGAACCGGCTCGCCCAGCGTCGTCACCGGGTTACAGTTCGGCGAGAACGGTATCTTCTTCTCCTCGATCAGACTCAACCACTTGCCGAACAACATCCTCCTGTACCGGTCCGTGAACGGTGTCAGGTAAGCCACGCACCCCGAGCAGATCAGGATGTCGCCGGTGACGTTCACCACGTTGGCCTCGATGTCGGCGATGGTCTGCAGCCACCGCACCCTCTCGCCCGACAGGCCGTTGATCAGCCTCACGGCCCTGTTCATCCTGTCCTCGCAGACCGCCATGCTCTGCTCCTTCTCCTGCTTGAAGGCGATCTTCCCCTCCAGCTGGATCTGGAGCTTCTGGAGCCCGTCCATCACCTCCTTCATCTTGGCCTTGGCGGCGGCCAGGGCCCTCTCCGTCTTGGCCAGGTCCTCGTTGGCCTGCTTGAGGGCCGCCTTCTTCGGGGCGACCGCCTTGTTAACGAAGTAGAACTTGTACATGGCGTGCACCCACATGCACAGGGACGTGCAGGCTTTGGATATCTGAAAAAAAAAATGTGAAAGGTTAAAATCCTCCGTTATAAACTTGTTTAAAAAACAATTGAAGGTGTACCTTTGCAATTTTTGCCGGAGTGAACAGGGGATCTTCGACGTACTTCTTCAGCTTCTCGATCATCTCCTCCGTTATCGAATCCTTGTCGAAATTCATCAGCGACGTGAGGAAAGCCCCAGGGTCAGCCAACATGTTGCGTCCGGGCTCCCAGTAGTCCAAAATTTTTTCTCCGGGTCTTATACCCGGCACCTGAAAGGAACAATTGTTGACAAGGGTAAAATTAGTCGATTTCATGGTTGGTCCCGACAAACCTTATTCGGTTTGATGTTCTTAACAATGCAAATGGCCTCTATGACGTACACCACGCCAGCGGGTGGTCGCTTCATGGAGCGCACCTCTGTGATGTCGTTTTTGTTGAGGGATTTCAAACTCGCCTCAGCCGCCATGAGCGCAGGCATCGCCTCATCTGGAAAGGAGCGTGTTGTGGCATGTAAGACATCACAAGTTAAAAAGTCCCAGCGGTTCGACAGAATTTCTTCAGAAGAAGAAACTCTGAATCGGGAAAATTAAGTCTCCTTGCCGGTATTTATATTTGTTGTGTGTACTCCGTTATGGACCAATATACACAACAAATGTAAATACCGGCCAGAAGATTTAATCTACTGTCTCACCCAGATCCCTTTGGGCGTCTTCCGCGATGGTCTGCGTCTCCATCGCTTTCTTAGACGCCTCAAATTCCTCTTTCTCCACGATGGCTTTGGTCTCCTCAGCTACCGCCTGCGCAGAAACGACAAAATAAAATCGAAAGTCCGAAACACTTTCAACTCTTGCTGATACGAAAACACTAACCGTATCCGCAGCTATCTTGACGATCATAATTTCCGCTTCCTTAGCGGCTACCTCGAGAGCGGGTTTCATTTCCGTGAGGTTCACCTGGAGGATCTTCACCTCCTCGGCAGTACTCTGAAGTTTACCCAATCCTGAATAAAAAACACAGAGTAATCACGCAACGAAAAATGAACAATTTGTTACCAGTCTTGAGCCTCCCCACGCCCTGCGTCAACGACCCCTTCTTCTTGTTCATCAGCTCGGTGTAGCTGGAGAGGAGCTCCAGGTAAGAGGTGGGCGTGACGTAGTTGTGCCTCGACAGTTCCTGTTTGAACAGCTCGCTGGCCTCCACGACGCTGGCGTGCATGTACTGGAACACCATGACGATGCCCTCCAGCACCTCCTCGGAGACGTTCAGGTCCTCCACGTCGTTGAGGAATTGCAAGGCGACGGACTGGAAACGGGGACGTTATTTACGTCGTCTACTCGAGGGAATCAACTCACCTGCAAAGCCGAGTCCGGCCAAGGACTGAACCAGTCGATCGTGCAGCAATTCACCAATGCCGGAAATTGCCTAAGCCGGGCCCTGAATATTTCCCCGATTGGACTGGAAGCGAAATTGAAACGGAAAAATAATTTAACAAGGAACGATAAAAAAATTTGTCGTACCAACCTCATGGTGATTACGCAATGCAAATTGGACCGCACTTGTTTTTGGTACACCGAGAACAAATTGGACTTTGTCGCGGCAAGCCCGAGTTCTTGCAGGATACCCTTCATCCCCTGATAGATTTTGTCCAGTTCGTCGGGTTGGTAAATGTTGGGTATGTCGCCGGAATTGAGCATGTTGTTCAGGTCTTCGAGGAATGATTCCATTTTTATCTGCAGAACGCCAAGTTAGAAAACAAAGGATTTAATAATTTTTTTGTTGATTAAATAAAAAGTAAACCAGTTAAACATAGCAGTAATATTCCTCCTCCTGCACTCGCTCACTTTACGGATAAAATTAGTCCAGAAGTCGATATTTTGTACGTGAAAAGGGACAGAATATTACTATTTTCCTTGAGATACTGAAAGTTACGGACCTGGGTGTCGGAGAACAGGAAAACCGTTTCCTGCTTCTTCAGTCCCGCCGCTATCATCAAATTCTTCATGTCGTCTCTCCAGTCGGTTGGACCGTAAACTGTACTGAGTACAATCTGGAAACAACCAAACTCTGCCATGAACGCCGATAGTCTGGTAAGACTCTGACGACCTAGGAGAAAATGAAATTCATGTATCTTCTAATGGGGTGATAGAAGTTTGACTGCCTTAATTGTAACAGACGATAGAATACATTAAAATAAACGAAAAAAAACCTTATATGACATGGGTCCTAAACTCAACCATTTCCAAGAAAAAAATTATCAAAATATTCAACTTGATGTACAAAAATTCGATTAATTAAGGAATGTTGGCATAACTGCGTGCATAGAATACGATAAAATACAATGTTTATCAATTTTTTGAACTTCTTTATGTTTAATTCTAAAAAATAATTAGCGTTGTAATACAGGGTTCGGAGTCTTTGAAGGTAATGTTATTCCCTGACTTTTCCAGGTTTTCCCTGACTCCAGGTATTATTTTTCCAGACTTTTTAAAATAAAAGAAGGTATTAGTCAACACTGAAATAAAATTATGTTATTATTATGCGTAAAATTGTGAACTTTTATGCACAGATATTTACTACCCTAAATTCAGACACATCGGTATAAAAACATATTTATTTCTTACAGTCTACATTTGTACATATGTACATAAAATACCTATATGTATATTATTAGTAACAATTGTACTAGACTATTTATATATTATTTATATCTTCTATAATCAATACTACTTCTAAATGTCTATAACAGTACTTTATAATATATGCAGGGTGTTAATGCTAAGTTTGACAAAACTTCACTGACGTGTTCTACTAATAAAAATAATTGGGGTTAATAATAAATTTTTATTACGCGTTCCCTTGCAGGGAATTACAAGGTCTCCCGGGTTCCTCTAATGAAGCAACTAAGAGAAAATGATAAATAATATGTTTTTTAATTTCTTTTTTGATTTAGCAATTTTTTAGTCCAGACACCATTAAATTCTAGGAACCGTTCACAAGAATAATTTTTTGTCATGAATTGAGCGGAAATCCTAAAAACACCTTCAAATTTAAAAATCAGTGACAGATCTTGTTTTTCCTAAAAAAAAGTCCCAGTGCCCACCCAGTATATGCCACTGAATATATCTTAGAATCATTTATCAATGGAAAAATAGTATCACCCAAGTTATATAACATAATCTATTTTGGAATTTGTTATATTGGAAGTTATAGAAAAAATTTATAAAACTTAAAATCAAAAATTCTTAATAGCAAACCCCAATTATTTTCATCAGTCACATACGTCAGTTAAGTTTGGCTAAACCTATCATTAACTCATATATAGTTAAAATAACTTCACATATTCTACAAAACATTATTAACTGTATGAATGTAAACAAAGCCATATAAAATAATTTTATCAAATTCACAACTTTTCATAAAGCTCTTTAAGCCTTCTGTCTATGTTTTTTGTTTCAAAATTTGTTTGTTTCAGAGCACAACAAATCAAAATAAAATATATCAAGCGATTGTTTATTATTTCTGAACTGGGTATAGAGCTCTTTTAATTTGATATCATTGCTGAGCAGGTTATTAAATTGAATTGAAGCATTTTCTGCTTGTTCCAGATTTATAACATTTTTGTCACATAAGGTTTCTAACAAATTATTAAATTTAGTTTTTGTTACCCCAAATCTCTGATAATCTTGTACTTTAAGGGTGATTTTTCACATATTTTTTTAATAATGACTTTAATAAACTGCCTGCAATCTTTTAAAAAACCTAATTTTTCCCGTTCATTGCCTTACTTTCTGTTAAGATTTTTTTTGTTCTGAATCCGATATCTATTTCAGATAAAGGTTTCAGAAGATCTGAATTTTCCAGATCCAATTTCAATAATGATGTTATGTTTTTCACTAAGATAGATTTTTTTAAAATTCTCTCAAACAGTGATCTCAACAAAATTTCCAGTCTTTTGCAAAGATATGGTGTTAATGGACTTGATGATTGAAAATATTTTAAAAATTCCTCCAATGGTGTAGCAATGGACGCAAAAAAAGCTACTTTACATTTTAATAACTTATCATCTAAGGCTTTTTTTACATTTTTTGAAGTTGTTGTATTTGGTAATTTTGTATTTTCATTAAAAACATATTTTCTTATATTATCAGATACTTGAAGAGCTCTATATGCTGCTGAAACACTCTCTACCCACCTTTATTATTTTATTAACAAATAAATAAAAAGAAAATAGGTATCTACCTTGTTTTTACAACATTTTCAGTAGTGCTCCAATACCGGATGCATATGTCCATTTGGCTTCGTTGTGAAATTCTATTTAATGATTCATCAAAACATGCAACATAAAATTCACAACTGCTCAATTCATCCTGTAACTGCTCTTCAAAGTAAGGAGCCAGGCCAAATGTTATATAGTAGGACAGTTTCTTTGAGGAAAGTTTCATGCGTTGGGCTGTTAAACTGTCTTTAAACATTTTTTGTAAGACGGGTACAGTTTTGTTCACTGAATTTAAGGATTCATGACTTTCAACACTGTACAAAGCCCACATAATTTCTGCTTCCAAAACCTTTTCTGGATCACAAAATGCATTTTGTAACATAGACTGCCTCTGAACGTCTTTATTATTTTCTCCTACAGACTCCGTATTAAGCTTATCAACTTCACTACCAACATCACTCGTCTCCTTAGATACACAAAATGATTTCAACATTTCAGAAACATCCTTGCTTCCTTGTTTAGCCCCAATTTTTTTCCTGTGACCTGTACTCTTATCGTGGCTGTGTAGAGCTTGCTTACCCATATTGCTTAAAGCAAATTTCTTTTTACAAATGATGCAAAAAGCAGAAAACGGATCGTCCTTTAATGACTGAAATATATTAGCCCATTCTTTATGCACGAGTGGATTTATCCAATCATCATTAAATATTGTCTTTTTTGCCATACCTAGATTATCTAGAATCAACAATCAAATGTAAAATTTTAATTAATTAATTTTAATGTAAATACTTACTTATTTGACTATTACAGAACAGCTAACTACTTATAGTATTTTCGTTAAATAATAACAATTCAACATAAACAAAAACCGCTGTAAATATTTGTCTGCAAACAAAAAAATGCAACTCAATGCAACTGCAACACACTTCCAAAAAGACAGAACTGTCCGGCCGATAGCACTGACGAGACGAGAATGTAATGATATTTGCAAAAATAAAAAGATGCACATATTTCTTCTAACTTTTAAAAAAAAAACGGGCGTAAAAAACCGTTTCTTATTCCGTGATGGACCTAATTGCAAATGCAAATTGTTTTGTCTTTCTCAAATTCTAAAATTGTTTGAAAGAGTGGGAAATATATGTGGTTTGTGGTTGGTCTACTGTTTAATAATACAACTCATACGACCAATGGAAGTGCGTCTTCAAGGCCATATTACAAGACAGGCACTGTATCCAGAGTCAGACTCGCCCAATATGACCTCGCACAACAGGTCTGGCCTCAACTATTTTTATGAATGAAATTCGAAACATAATTAAATGTTTCTTTGAAAAAAATTGCGGCCCTATATTCCAGAAGAAAGCTAAATTTCCCTGACATTTCGTAAAAATTTGTTTTTTCCCTGACTTTTCCCTGACTTTTAGAAAGATTTTATATTTCCCTGACTTTTCCAGGTTTTCCTGGTTTTCCCTGTCACTCCGAACCCTGTAATAAATTTAAAATTCGATAAAATTCGTATCGAGCAATGTGACAACGGCGCGGCGGGTAACACGAGGTACTAAGGTGTTCAGCAATACAATATCTGGAATTGGACCGTGTCTGAGTGTTTTTTGTGTACCACTATTTCTAACTCGTACTACAAAATCGATACAATATACTAAATGTTTCAAAAAAATAGTTGTTTACATTTTTTCCGTAGGACAAATCTGTCGAGTGCACATATAACAGAGTATATAGAGTATATTTTAAGAAAAGATAAAATAAAGAAAAATTAGTATATGATCAATTAAAAATTTTCGTAAAAATGAATTTCAAACAAAATTTAAAGAAATATAATGTAATAAAGTATATATTCGAAATTGAAAGTGTGATTGATAATAAAAATAGAAACAAATGTATTCAATAAAGGAAAACCATTTATAGAAGATTGAAAAATTTTGGATAAATAGTAAAATAAATGAATGAACATAATTTTTATTTTAATTTGAAAGAAGAAGCGAAGCAGAATAAATAAATACAGCTAAGAAAATTACCACCTCAAAAAAATTTATAACAATATATACAACCGACGATGCTCCATACCTGATCCCCCCATTCCCAGCAGAAGGGCGTTGCCCATGGGCTGCCTGATGATCCTGGATATCCTGCACACGTGCGAGATCGCGTCCAAGAACAGCACCAGCTTCATGGGTTTCGTGCTCTGCGCGTTGTACTCCTGCAGGTAGAAGTTCAATGATTCCTCTAGTTTCGCGAAATCCTTGATCTGGATGTAAGGGGCGGCGTCCTGGGTGGGGTCCAGGAAGTCGCCGAACAGGATGGCGCCCTTTCCGAGGGCCTCCGCCGGGTCCACATCGTAATGCTCCTGGATCTTGTCTCTCAGCAGGGAGTCGAACCAGTCCCTGTCCTCGTCGTTCACCAGGCGGTCCTGGAAGACGCGACAGCACTCGTGGTACCACAGTCGGATCAGTTCGTTCACGTCCTGGATTTGGGGTTTCGAAGTTATCAGGATTTTTTAGATAACAAGGGAAGAAAAATGTCAAAAGTTCCATGGTCTATGACCAAAAAGAATATTTGGTGAAATAGAACCAAGGAAAGGCTACTATGCAGCGTGTTAGAGCGATATATGCATCAAAAAGTATTTTTTGTGACTTTTCCTTGAAGTTTTTCTCTTTGCTTAATATGGGAAATCTCGCTGCTACAGCACGAATGGTTTGCGTAGGTGGCCCGTCAAGCATCTAACACGCTGTATATTCAGTTGAGAATTTATGTACCTTCAGAGACTCCGGAATAAACATCAGAATACCCTGGAAAATTTTACTGAGGTCCCTCAAGTTGAAAGTGTAGTGCGTTTTGGCCGGAGTCGGCAGGAGCTCCCTCAGAATCGTGACGTAAACGACCAACGTAGAGGAGAGCACTGCCTCGTAGTAATTCACCAAACCCCCAGCCCTGGAGATCCACGAGTGCAGGATGGTGCCGAAGATCTTCCTCTGGAAAATAACGTCACGTCGCCTGGATTTTCGGAGGAGTTATAAATATCGAATTAATTACAGTACTGTCCTCTTCCATTTCTAGGAAGGTCAGGAAGTGGAAGTGCCTCAAGAGACGCGCCGTGACGGGATTCCTTCCGCCTCCCGGGGGACCCATCGCCGCGGCGAAGTTGATGTCGATTATGGTCCTGAATTCGCCGATGTTCTTCCTGTCGTACCATCCTGGTTAAAAATACAAGCGCGAGTTGAGGTGGGAATTTTTTTTTTCGACTCAATCATACCGCCAAAGTCCATCCACTGCCTGATCAGCTCGATGGGTGGCTGCGCCCCGTACACCTCCAAAGCGGGCATGTTGAAGTCGTCGATGAAAAATATTTGCCTCTTTAAAACTGGAGGGCCAAAAACACCCTTCCTCCTTCTGTCCAATTTCGAATCGATCAAATCCTAATAATAGTCCGGTCAAATTTGTCATAAAAATAGTGGTCAAATGACGAAAATTCCGGCAGAGCTAAATTTTGATGGAGACCTTGGGTACACCATTAAAAATAAAGTGTCAAAAGTCCCCATCGATCCCATGTGTGCTAAAAAAGTTATTCGGGGTCAAAAGTCAAAATTTGAGGTTTTTTGGATTTTTTTCGAAAACGGTAAGTTTTATCAAAAAAGTAGTCCTTACAAAAATTATAGATCTGAAAATTATCCACAAAAATGGTCCTTATACTTTTTTATCTAAGAACCACCATTCCTGAGATATCGCGATTCTAAAAGTTGAAAAAGTCACTTTCTACATGATATGCACATATATGCCACGTATATACATAGTCTTAATGCATGTAAAAATGCCTATTTGTGTCTCTTGTATGTATAAATTATACTATTCTGAGAATATACACTCAAAAGAAACTCAGTCCCTTAGTCAAAATGGCGCAGATGTCCTTATAATTGAAACAGCAATAGAACAATTTCATGCAACAAATACAACTAATGTAGTTGGTGAAGATGTTGACTTATTAATACTACTCACTGCAAGGACTCCAATTGATAAAATTATATACTTTTTAAAACCTGGAAAAGCTCAACAGCGAACAGAAATATATTCTTCAAAAAAGTTTATCTGCTTATCCAAAATGCCAAAAACCATATCTTATTTTTAAATGCGATAACCGGCTGCGATACTACATCAGCAATGTTCAGAAGGGGTAAAACATCAGTATTTTAAAATTATTTGGAAAAAAAGATTTGATTGATTGCAGACATTGATTCTTCACCTCAAACAATAATCACAAAAGGAATTCGCTTTCGCCTTGCTGTTTATGGAGCTCCAAAAAAATTTTATATAGATAAATATAGATGTTTAACTTCTGTAAAAAATACACGAAACAAGAAACAAGTACAACTATCTTGTCTTCCTCCAACATCGGCTTCTGCTAATCAACACTTGTATCGAGTATACTATCAAGTTCAAACATGGCTAGGCAATCAACTGAACCCAGAAGACTGAGGTAGTATCATTTATCTAGGGACTGAGGTTGGAAATTAACAGATAATACTTTGGAACCGATTCAAACTTTACTACCACCTGCTCCGGAAAAACTCCTAAACACTATTTTTTTGCAATTGCAAAAAAGGTTGTAGTGCTAAATGTGGCTGTAGAAGAGTAGGGTTACAGTGTTCTCCAGCGTGTACTAATTGCCAAAGCCAGTCTTGCTCAAATGTCCAGTTGAATACAACAGACGAAGATTCATGTGATTTCGATGAAGAGACAGCCGATTCATCTTCATTTGAACAATTTATAAACATCCAGCAAGAAGAAGAGGAAGTAGAAGAAGAAGAAACCGAAGAAGACATGACTGTTGAAGTCGACTTTGAAGAGTATGAATCAGATTAAAATGTCAAAAGAAGGCAGAACTACAGTTAAAGTCAATAACCAATATCAATAATTATCATGCAGTTAAAACTCACCGTTTTCGAAAAAAATCAAAAAAACCTCAAATTTTGACTTTTGACCCCGAATAACTTTTTTAACACACATGGGATCGATGGGGACATTTGACACTTTATTTCTAATGGTGTACTCAAGGTCTCCACCAAAATTTAGCTCTGTCGGAATTTTCGTTATTTGAAATGTCTATTGTGACCGGGCTATAAGGGTTAAAGTAAAACAAATATATTATGGCTGGAGGTGCTAAATTTGCGGAAAAATTCTTCGAGAAAAAAACGTTTTTTTCCCTAAAAGATTAGGGAAATAATGGAGAAATTTTCGCTTTTAAAACCTCGGGAAAATCCCAATCTATAAAAGATTATGTCATCTTAGCACCAATACAACTTTTTTTTTCTCCAATATTTCCAATTTTTTCAGCTTTTTTTTTGCAGAACTTTTGCCTCTCTGATTGCGGCTTTAATAAATTTTGTTAAGTTATCTCAAATGCGGTGTACAAATTTTTACCAATTTAAGGCCGACCCTTTTTTACAGAATTTAAATAATGAACGACTTCACGATAAAAAATCAGACCGTTCCCCTTGAGAGTCATTTGCTGCTCTTCTTTCAAGGTCTGATACCAAAAGTATACAATTTATTTTAACGAGGGTCGCTTAATACAGAGTACGGGGGTATAACATAAAAGACCCTGATAAAACGAGCTTCGGGATAATTGATTATTACATTCATTACTTCTGCTTCTTTGAAGTTTCCATTCAACCCGTACGAACCGAGGAATGACGGCGGAGGCATCTTTCAGTTAAAAAGTAATGAAAGGTTACTACATTGTGTTTTTTTTTTAAAGGACCCCGCACTTTTCTTATGGGAAGTGGGTTTATTTATTTTGACTAAATCTAAAAAAAAGTTTTTATGTGATTTTTTCGAAAAAGTAATATTCAAGCTGTAAAACGCTGTTAAACTTAACACACGTGTATATCTACAGCTATCATACGTATACTCTGTGTTAAACTTTGGTGGCGTTTTAAAGCTAAAACATTGATTTTTCGAAAAAAACAAGAATAGTTTTTTTTAGATTTCATTGAAATAAACAACTTTTATTTGAAACTTTTTTTCATAAAACGACAAGTAAACTCCCCGCTACTTGGAAGCAGTTTTTTTGGGTGGGGGAGGGATGGATTTGGGGCTTTGTGCCCATTGAGACTTTTGATCTACATGTTAAGAACTATCAACCTGCGAAGTTTCAAAAAAATTGGACGAAACCCACTTCCCATAAGAAAAGTGCGGGGCCCTTTAATGCAGATGTCATGTACATATAATTCTTATTCAAATCCATTGGAAACAGTGTTAAAAATTGAGACCTTTCAATGCGTGTTTACTTCATTCGCCCGATATTTCCCCTTCAATCAATTCCAGTCCGAATTAACTTTAATTCTGACGGCGCGTATCTCCCCCGCCCCCAGATCTTTTCTTTGGATTTGTATTAGAGAAGTAATTAAGGATTAAACATTGTGCGCTGAACCGCTGGACGACTTTCATTTCATCGATAAAAGTTTAACCCTTTTTTAAATTGCCTCGGTTCGGTAAGTCCAATTAACAATTTACATTATAAAAAAAAGTTTTATTGGGAACAAAGAGGCGTGAGTGATTTCTCTTTTTTTTTAATTACCCCAAAAGTAAGCTCAAATTAATGCAAAAAGAGCAAATTCCCGAGCGGCATTTGCCTGACCTTGGGACTTTGTTAGTTATAAAGGGCTACTTAATTGCAACTTTTTGAAATTTGTCTTTTTCGAGACACTTCTTTATGCACATTTAAAATGTTTCTGCTCTTTCAAAGAACTCTTTTCGAAAGAAGGGGTATTTTTCAAGGGTTGAAAAGTTGTAAGTTGATAAAAATGCATGGTTAAAACGTTTCAAGTTGAAAACAAAATTTTTATATTATTTTCATCCAAGGGGGTGGTTTTTAAAGGTTTTTCGGGGTTGAAAATTTGGGATACATTAAGTTCCATGTTAGATAGCACATGAAATGACTCATACTGCACAAATAAAAAAGATTTGATTACATAAAATACTTAAATTTGTATTTTTTCTTTTTTTCCAATAAGGGGTGGTTTTCACCCCTTAAGAACAAAAAGCACACCTAGCGCATATATAAGTTTTGAAGTGGGGGATAAATTTTGAGAAAAATCGATGCAGTTATAAAAAATTCGGAGGTATTACTATATTTTCAGCTACAGTAACTGGGCTATACCTAAATACACCCATAAAAGTGCCGCACAAAGTTTTTATACTATTTATTACTCGCTTATTCCACACACAATGCAAACATTCACCTACTCTCCCTTTCACCCTCCCTCCCACCCCGCGACTCCGTGCAAAATAGCTTTTATTTTCTTAACTCTGCCCGCGTATCAACAGACCGACTTTTCACGTCCTATTTCCCGACAGCGTGATAATAAGAATCTCATTAACTTTCTTCCCACTGTTATTCGCATCATTCCGCGTCAAGCCAGGACCGGTCCGCTTCTATTTAAGAAAAATCTTGCAGATGAATAAATTCGTAGAAATTATTTGTCCGTCTCCTGCATTTGCCACCCCCTACGATTCGAACACGAAAAAACTATTCGACTTTCAACTTTTCACATTTTTGGCAAGACCTGGAGCATGTCGTTAAATAAAACATTTCTATCTTCCGTACTGATACACATATACGAGGGAAAATCAGGTTTTCAGGCACAGATCAAAGAAATGAATCTTTTGCGAAGGCTGAAATTAATGAAAACGATTCGTGTGTTTGGATAATATTTATTAAATTCCTTTTCAAAGGAATCCTCGGATCCTTCATCTTTTTTTTTATTGCGATGTTTTCTAAATTAGGAGTTCCAACAAATTATTTAGCCGAAATAATTACAGAAGTAATTTGTAGGGGAAAATAAAAATCGTTTCCATCGGTTGTTTACATAAGGACAGCAGTTAAAAAAATCAGAGACGCAATTACAGTTTGACACTTAAGATCCTACTTGTAGAAATATGGCGATTCATGTTTCGTCCTTCAAACTAATAAATTTACAAGCTTTTTCCTGATTTACGGTTTGAAAATCAACCGCATAAAAAAATCCATTCTTACAGCTGGCGTACTGGGTATTTTTATTACATTGTCCAGTGTGGTGCAGTAGGCTGCTACTATTGGCCGTTGCTAGTACTGCCAATCGAGCAACACAATCACGTACGACAGAATTGTCCATGTAAAGGAACTACCCAATTCTGAAGCTTCCGAGATGTCGCCTTTACCCACTTTCATATTATTTTATGGAATTCTAGTGAAACTTGATTAACAACAAAGTAATTCTGTTATTTATTGACACTTTATACAGGGTGTTACACCCCGTATGGAATTCCAGTCCAATTCCATAAGTCAATCCGCATATTTATCAGGAAATTGACAGTGTCTACGACCTAATACAAATGTTGTCTTGTTTCACCATAAATTAAAACGATATCCATCAACTCCGGGTTGCTATAATACACGTAGGCCATTTTTGACACTTGAAAAACTAATGTAAACACTATCGCAAAAACGTTAATATGTACTAAAATCGGATTTCAATATTCGGAATCGCCACGTGGAGAGTGAGAGAGCGCCGATATTGAAAATAAAATACGGGTTTATTCTGCCAAGCCACCGGCTCGAGCTTAATAAAAAATTCGCAATAAAAAAATTCCAGAACCCCGGATCTCCCAATTTTAACGCTCACCTGGGTCTGGTTGGCCGTCGTCCTGGCCGAGAAGCACATGAAATCGCAGATGAATTTCTTGTGCATATTCCTGCTCAGCTTCCCTATAACGGTGAGCGTCTTCCCTGTGCCCGTCGGTCCTATACATAGCACGTTGTTCTCGTTGTAAAGAATAATACCCATTAGCTCGGCGTTACGTATGTTGTTTACGGTGGGGATCTCTATGTCTTCAAAAGGAAATGGGAATGAAAAGGAGACGAGGGCACGTGTGCGGCAGGCCATTCAGCGCCGCCGTCGGAATGGCATTGAATTTAATACATTCATACAAATTATACGCCTTGTGTAAGCTAAAAACAGAGTATGCGTCTTTAAAAATTACATTACCGGAGTATTTCATGTCCGCAGTGATCTTGTACTGCTCGATGTTTTCCAGCCAGCTCCTCCAAGTCGGCGGGGCCGGCTCGTTGTCAGAAGTGGGATCTGTAAAGCCCCCGTCGTGCAATCTGCGGACAGAACCAGTAATGATTTTTATGTAATTAAATACGGCAGAACGAATGCCACTCCGAAACTTAATAAAGTTTCCGCGAAGTTACTAGAAGTTTACGAGAATTTTTCCATTACGCCAAGCATGGATTTGTTGTTCACTGTGAAAATCGCTATTTTATGGTCTACGCAGTAAACTGTACCGCTGTTAAAATATATATATATACACATTCATCCTCTATACAAGAGGTGTCAAAAAGTAACTTACTTGTAGTCGTACACGAGACCGTCGGAGGGAAAGGAGGACTTCTTTATCGCCATCTTGTCCTTAAGCCACTGGTCGAATCGGATGCGTCCGTCATTGTCGCAAGTGCACCCGATGCTCCAAACTAACGAGAATATCACCCACGGGGTCAGGAGACCCGCTGGAAGATGTCAAAGTGGTGTTATGACGTTCCGAAAGCTCCAACGGAAGTGTATAGACGTGGAAATACAAATTTGTGACGTCATTTAGTGCGAGCGGGAACACGACTTGCGCCACGAATAAGCGAGACAGCGAATCAATTAACAACCTCGAAAAGATCTCTAATATTTCCAGACATTTAAAAAGATATTTGCAAGTTGCCTATGTCCTCAATTTTTTTTATATAAATTATAAATTTATCGCCGCATTACGTCTCTCGTCATATTTAAACAATCATAAATATTTAAAATGAGACGCTGACGTTGAACGTATAAATCTTTATTTTTAAATTCTAAATCTGTTTCATCAACAACCGGTTCTACTAATTCAATATTGTCTGGAGGTATTTCGTTTTGTTCCGCTTCAAAAGGTCTCCAAAATGCCATGTTGTAATAATATTAGTAAACAAAATATCCCCCTTATTTCTCAATTTCTTTCGCAATTATAACACGAATGATTAATAAATAGAAGATGCCTATAATAAATTAAAATTACCCGAATCACACCAAATTCCGCATTGTTGCACTGCACTGCTAGGCAATTTGTCAACAACTGAAATTTATAGCCGGTCGCCCGGTGCGGCTGTGTTTGTGCGCCGTTTGCCCGCGCGCGCATTCTTCAACTGGAGATCGGAAAGACTACAAAATAAGTTTGCGGGACAACTTATCGCACGTTCCGAAACCCTTGTGATCGTGTCAGTTCTTTCTGACAGAAATCTACTTACGTATCAAAGCCAGGTACTGCGTTGAAGGAGGCGGCTTATTATCCCTGCCGGCCAGCGGCCCCAGCCTGAAGTCCATGAGGCGCAAGAACGAAATTAGTAAAGCGGAATCCACTGACGTCAGTATCTCCTTCAAACTACTCCTTACGAACTCTATGGCCGGTAAGACGTAGTGATCGAAAAGCTTCTTAAAGTCATCCGCGTAGGGTTTAGCTAACTGAAAAGGTATTCAGTATAACTGACTGGAGCTGGTTCAGACTTATTGACATTTCAAGAGACATATCGCTCTCCGAAGACACTTTGGAACAGGAGATTAAGTCGTCTTGCCGGTATTTATATTTGCTGCGTGCACCGATCCATGGTGGAAGTATACAACGTAAAGAACTCGCTATTGCACTTCGAGGAAGATAGCAACAACCTTTCCCAAAGCTACCAAGTAAAGCCAGACCTTAGAACTAACTGGAATTTTGAAAAAACTCACAAGGGCACACAAATACCGGTCAGAGGACTTAATTTTCGAATTTCAGGGTTTCTTGTAAAGAAGATATAAGTCCGTTGAATTGTCAATGAATCCAAACGCTCCTTGAATCTACCTCGGGCAGCCTTTTGGCCCAGCAGGTGATGAACGGCCTCAGGCCCAGCACCCCCGGCTCCAGGTACACCATCCCGCACCTGGACACCGTCGCCGGAGAGGCCACCGCCAGGTCGGCCACCTCGAACACCATCGTCATGCCCTCCCGCAGCTTTATGATCTCCCCGCTGCTCAGACACAATTTCTTGTTGTCGTCGAGCACGGTGTTCATGTTCTCTATCCACACCGCGTCCACGGGGCCGTCGAAGATGTACCAGCGCTTGTCCTTGTCGTCGGCGTTGATGCCCAGCCGTACTAGCGACGGGAGTATACCGTCGGTCCTAGATTGTTAGTAATTTGGTTTAAAATTAATTTTATTATGTGTCCTATTGTAGGATACAATTTGAGCTCATGGTAAGCTAGATTGTAATGGCATCTGTGTTTTTGTCACAACCTCCTATTCTATAAATTACAATAGGATGCCCCTACAAGGTATACATGGTTCACAAATTTTTTAAAACACTACTAATTTTATTTTTATATAACGCAATTAGAGGTACCTAAGTAAAACGTTAACCGTTTTTCACAGAGAATCAACGTTTACGGCTACGTATAGTAAGCCGAGCTTTTGACATACTCCTTTTAATTAAAACTGTTAGCAAATCTGGCGTAAAACTTATTCTCCGATGTTACGATATAAATCAGGATTAACTGTTCCATTAGCTAATTAATTAATTAGGGGCAAATGAGACTGTTGGAGGTATAAAAAAAGGTACGAGGGAATAGTTTAAGCCTACAGTATATTTTCAGTTCAGTATTACTTCCCTGATTTATCTCGCTCCATTAACAACGAAATGGATGTAGAGGACGGGCCTGCTTTCGTTGCAAACATCATTTCACGAAATGTACTTTGGAAATGGGTAAAAAAAAACTAACGCGTTTTGTTCTTGAAAGAAACTTTCACAAAATCGATAGAACTCAAAAACGATTAGAACGGCGGGACACTGGAGCAAATTCCAACTTTTGTTTTCTTAAAATCTTCGCGAACACAAAAAATTTTTTTAATAATCGAATTATCTCCCCTCGAGTCGTTTACAAAAACCCAGCCGGTGTAAAAATTATATTCCGACATTATTAAAAAGTGGAAAAAGCGAGTGGTGTTTGCTTCGTCCCGCTTTTTTAATATCCAGGTGAATCGGCCATTAATGATCTTTGATAAACATATTCCGAAAGCTCTTTAGGCTTTTTATAAGGTCGTCCTAAATTTTGTCTCCCGATATTTTCGGGACGGGCAATACATTGAAAGTTCAAGGCCAGATTTTTAATTGTTAGACATTCAGACAACTGCCGAAAAGTTCGAATGTAATGTGGGGTACATGCTGAAAAAAGGCAAATATGTAGCCCAAAGAATGCTTAATTTCGAAATAGATAACAGGCAACACATTCTTTGGACCGTTGAGAGTCGTTTTATAAGTAATGGCAAGCCAAATAAAAGAAACGAGCATTACTGGGCCACTGAAAATCCACACTAAGTTAATTCCATTCAAAATCAGGGCCATTATGGAATAAATGTTTCGTGTGGCATTATTGGAATGCATTTAATTAGCCCATTCATTTATGATGCTTTATGTATTGAACACGATGGTGCTCCTCCACATAAAGTTAAAAGAGTTACGGACTATTTAAAAAATGCTTTCGGAACTAAGTAGATTGGAATTAATGGGCCTGTAGAATCGGCTTCAAAGCCTAAAAATCAAGTATATAAGACGCCCACGAGAAGTTCGGAGCATTTAAAGCCAAAGATTCGACATGTTTGCGAGAGTCTTTCAAGAGAAACGTTGTTTAAACCTACAAGGGAAGTTAGGAAGATATTGGATAAATGCTTAGAAGTAGGATAAGTTTCAAACGTCTTATCACGCGACGTTGTTTTCCAAATTATTGTACTGGAATTGAACCCATAATGTTCTTTACTTGAAGAGAGAGAGAAGAAATTGAAATGGACAGAAATAGGATATTTTTTTGTCGCTGACCTCTTTCGCGAGAATGAACTGATAGGCCCTGCTCAGAGGTTATTATTTTTTTGTATTCGTGTCACGTCAACGTGAATAGGAAGGAGTTATTTGGGTTCTGAAGTATGAAGTATATCCGATATGATGTTCACATTCGACGAACTTACCAAGCATTTCATATTAAGGCAAGCAAATAGCCACGTCGCCAGACCTAGGTTCATTATTACTATATAATCGAATTGTATGAACATAATTTTATTTCTAACGCACTTTTGATTAGTCAATTTGCCGGTCTAACAAGAAATAAAACTGAAATAATAATAACCCCATTCCATCAAAAACAACGCAGTTTCATAACCGGCTAAAGCGAAATGAATTATTCAACTACAATTCAGTGCGAACCCGTTTTTAGACCCCTCGCTTCTCTTAAAACTATGAATGAACTTTAAAGTACTGGAACTTGACATCTAATAATGCTCACGTTATTAAAATTGGCGCTTAGGAAATATCTACTATGCTCTGCCGGAGCTTTGCATATGCATAGTTGATGAATTATTTTGTGAATAGAATGGCTGGAGAGTTGTTATAACGGGTCTAGAATGGTGTGGGGCGTAGGGCAAGGGCAAAATAGTTTTCGCTATAAGTTAAACAAAGTTCATTATTAAATTTGGGCTGATATTACAATTAGTGAGAGCTGAATGAACGTGAAAGTAATAGGGCATTAATTAAGTTCCTGATTGAATTTTATGTGAATAATAATTTGGTACATATTAACTCCATTAATTGATTAATTTATAACTTGTTCTTATGTTTTCAGTAAGTATTTACCGCAATAAATATGTAGTTTCAAATTTGTGAAATATAAAGAAAATAATGAAAGAAATCTTTGTTGCAACTGGCCGAAATAAGAGAAAATGTCAGATTTTCTAGGTACCGCGTGAGGAAATTTGAAAAAATTAAATTTCTCTGAACAGATTTGAAATAGCAAGGAAGCTACCCTCGATGTACGGTCCATTTGCTTCCGGACACCCTGTAGATTACATTATTAAAACATTGTGATACCGTGTCGTTCTAGTCCAGGCGGTACTTGTTTCGGGTTGGGTAAAACGCATATGATCGGGGATTTTTGCTTTAACGTCTTCTAAATAACATCAGAAATGATAATATTTCTATGCAAATAAAAAAAAACGTGGGCTTAACTGTTATTGCAAAAAAGAATAAAAAAATTGCAAAAAAAATCATTTTTTTCTTGGATTTCTCGTCCACAACTTAGCAACTATTCGTTTTAGACAAAAATGGAAGAGGAAAAAAAGTTTTGTAATTAAATTTTGATCAAGACAGAGTTATTAGCAATTCGAAAAAATAATTTTTGTTGCTGCAAAAATCGGAAAAATCATTTAAAAAATTGCAAAAAATTCTAGTTTATTTGTAAATTTTTTTCAGACACTTGAATAATACCTAGGATCTTCATACTTTTTCCAATTAAACTTCTTAGTGCATAGAATCATCACACCAAATTTCATCCAATTCGGTTCGATAGTTTTTACATAATAATTGTTTAATTTTTTTATTTTTTTTTAAATTAAAGAATTTTCAAAATCAAATTTCTAAAAATCTAAAGCCTTTGAATACTTGAAAATTTCACCACAAAAAGAAGAGCTCTCAAGCTTTAAAATGGTTTTTGAAAAATTCAATTCGGACGATTAGGTGAGCCGTGGTGATTGTTTAAACATTTTCACAATTTTCACGCTTATAAACAATTGCAATAATTTAATGTTTTTTCAATTTTAAAATATGGTTTGAAGGTACTCGGAAAGGCGAGTATTTAAAAAAAAAACCTGATGATCCTCCCATTATTTTCGGAGTTATATCCCGTTAAAGTTAACCCTTATTTACAGCAAAATTATAAGGGCTGTTTTTTGAACCAATAGGTTTGTTATTCCGAGTACTTTCCAGATATAAATTTTCAAAATTTGCAATCACGGGCGTCCCATTTAAAATGTCACTCAAAGATATTCAAGACCGCGTGAAATCAATGAGGTATCAGTGGTGGGGGGAGCAAACACACAGCTACTCCGATCTGAATTCTCGAGTTCAAAATTGCGACACTCGGAAAAATTTCACTTATCTCAGCGTCTAATGGACCAATTTCGATGATTTTTTTTTAAATCGATGTCTCGCAACTAAAAAATTCAATTATCATATTTTCAACTACATTTTATTATTAATTATTGGACTTTTGACATGCCGATAAACAGTTACTTTAAAAAATGATTAATTTATTATGTTTATTTATTTACTATGTTAATTTTCACGACCAAAATTTTTGCATGTTGCACCATGTTGTTGGTATTAATTAAGTATCCAAAAGATTCTTATACTTTTTTTTATAAATAAAAAATAAATTTTAGATAAATATTTTAAAAGTAAACGAAAAAATTAAAATTATAATTATTCACAATTTATTTTTTTTTGAAAGATTTTTAGAAATTTATCGTACAACTAAAAATTAATACCAATTTTCAGTTGTTTATTTAAATAATTATTGTTTAAACAATTTTATAATATTTAAACAAACTTACTAGTATTACCTGGTGCAACATGCAAAAATTTTGGTCGTGAATATTAACATAGTAAATAAATAAACATAATAAATTAATCATTTTTTAAAGTAACTGTTTATCGGCATGTCAAAAGTCCAATAATTAATAATAAAAGGTAGTTGAAAATATGATAATTGAATTTTTTAAGTTGCGAGACATCGATTTAAAAAAAAATCATCGAAATTGGTCCATTAGAAGCTGAGATAAGTGAAATTTTTCCGAGCGTCGCAGTTTTGAACTCGAGAATTCAGATCGGAGTAGCTGTGTGTTTGCTCCCCCCACCACTGATACCTCATTGATTTCACGCGGTCTTGAATATCTTTGAGTGACATTTTAAATGGGACGCCCGTGATTGCAAATTTTGAAAATTTATATCTGGAAAGTACTCGGAATGACAAACCTATTAGTTCAAAAAACAGCCCTTATACCCTTATAGTTTTGCTGTAAATAAGGGTTAACTTTAACGGGCTATAACTCCGAAAATAATGGGCGGATCATCAGGTTTTTTTTTAAATACTCGTCTTTCCGAGTACTTTCAAACCATATTTTAAAATTAAAAAAAATAAAAAAACATTAAATTATTGCAATTGTTTATAAGCGTGAAAATTGCGAAAATGTTTAAACAATCACCACGGCTCACCTAATCGTCCGATTTGAATTTTTCAAAAAGCATTTTAAAGCTTGAGAGCTCTTCTTTTTGTGGTGAAATTTTCAAGTATTCAAAGGCTTTAGATTTTTAGAAATTTGATTTTGAAAATTTTTTAATTTAAAAAAAAAAAAAAAAATTAAACAATTATTATGTAAAAACTATCGAACCGAATTGGATGAAATTTGGTGTGATGATTCTATGCACTAAGAAGTTTAATTGGGAAAAGTATGAAGATCCTAGGTATTATTCAAGTGTCTGAAAAAAATTGACAAATAAACTAGCATTTTTTGCAATTTTTTAAATGATTTTTCCGATTTTTGCAACAACAATAATTATTTTTTCGAATTGCAACTAACTCTATCTTGTTCAAAATTTAATTACAAAACTTTTTTTCCTCTTCCATTTTTGTCTAAAATGAATAGTTGCTAAGTTGTCGACGAGAAATCCAAGAAAAAAATGATTTTTTTTGTTATTTTTTTATACTTTTTTGTAATAACAATTAAGCCCACGTTTTTTTTTATTTGCATAGAAAAATTATCATTTCTGATGTTATTTAGAAGCCGTTAAAGCAAAAATCTCCGATCATATGCGTTTTACCCAAGTACACCCTTTGTAAGACGGATACCGCCTGGACTATTCGCAGAAGGTATTGCGACACATGAAAACGCGGCCTATGGCGTGAAAAATTCAATCTCAAGACGCATCAGAGATTTGTAGGAACTATTCTACTTAGACGATGACACATTTAATACCTGTGTCCATTGTCCGTTAAACGAAACGTCACTCACCACTCGTGCGTCTGCAAATCGAACTCCCCGTAGAGCTGCCCCATGGTGATCGACTTGGGATTCATCACGTACGTGTGCACCGGCATAAAGGGATACCCGCTGGGCTGGGGCTTGCCCTTTAGGGCCGTCATCGCGTTCTTCAGGATCTCGTAGCACTGTAACAGAAAAGTCCGTCTTCACGAAAGAAAATAATAGCAGGAAATCGAGACACCTGTATACATTTCCAACATAATAATATTTTCCGTGGACGACCCCCTAACAGAGTTTTTCTTCCCGCGTAACGCTTGCGCCCGCGTGGCCACCCCCAAGATCCCGCAACGGAATCCCGTCAGTAAGCGGCGCGACTCCGCAACAAACCGAACTTTCAGCGGAAGCGCGAAGAGCACCCGAACACGCGACAACGACCTGTTGAAGATGTCCCTGACGGGAGCGAATCCGACGGGCCTGAGGAACCTGCTCGCCACCGAGGACTACAACGACAAGTTCAACGTCTCCTTCGACTGCTGCTGTTGCCCTTTGGAGGTCAACAACAACTGCTCCCAAGTCTTAATTACCTTCTCCAAGTACTTGGAGATCCTCCACGTCTACTACATCCCCATTATCATAGCGGTGGGGTTCATTGGAAACCTCCTGTCGTGCCTGGTGTTGCTGACCACTCACCTGAAGCTAAGAAGCTCCAGCTATTACCTGGCGGCTTTGGCGGTGGCCGACACGGGATACCTGCTGTGCACCTTCATAGTGTACTGCAGTTCCAAGGGGATTTTCGATCTGTACCACGTGCAAGGGTTTTGCCAGTTCTTCGTCTACCTGACGTACGTGTGCGCCTTCCTAAGCGTATGGCTGATCGTAGCATTTACCGTGGAGAGATTCATAGCTGTCCAGTACCCCCTTCGAAGGCCCTACATCTGCACCGTGTCCAGAGCTAAGACAATAGTGTTCAGCCTGACGGGAGTGGCGGTGGTTTCCTACACGTATGTGTTCTGGATAGCGGGAATAGTCAACGAAGAATGTCAATTACTGCCCGACTTCAAGGACTTCGCCAAAATCATCAACTCGGTGGACACCATCATCACCCTGGTGATGCCGGTGGTCCTCATCGTGGGCATGAACGCCATGATAGCCAGGAGCTTGTTCCGGTTCAGGAAAAAGCTGCAGTTCGAGGGAGTCTTGGACGAGATGTTCACACCGGAGAAGACTGAGCTCTACTCCAATTCTCAGGTAATAATGTCACAGGTACGAAGAAATGTGGAATTCGTCACATATTCGATCGTATACAATCAAATAATATAACGATATAAGTAGGGCTGATAGCAGTAACCTCCTAGACTTCCTGATTTGATCCCGGTTGAATTTAAACAACAGTTGCTACATAATTCCACTAATTTGTTTAAAAAATCAATGAAAGCAAGTCACCCAAGTAAGGTTCATGTTAATTTTAGTGACCATGATAATATCAGTTTGCTGAATTAAAACAAAATTATTTCTTTTTATTCATTATTTTTTACTTCATTCATTCTATAACGATGTTAAATTGTTTATACAGGGTGGTCCAGATTTTAATAGACGCACTTGGGGAAAGTACTAAACAACAAAAATTAACATCACTTTGCTCTGTGAACATAGGCGCAGAAAGCCACCATTCGTGAGATACAGGACGTTGAAATTAACAAAAGTAAAACAATTTTTTTTAGATATCTGGAAAATCCCTTAATCAAATTTATCCAAATTTGGTATAAACTTTTTTTCAAATATTTCTCCTAGTTCTGTAGTTCTCGAAGTTTGACTATTAAAATCTGGACCGCCCTGTTTAAATTTAATTTATGTTTGTTTTATTATTTTTATATGCATTAGTAGATTTAGTTAATTCTTTGTGTTTGTTACTGTTTTGTGTATTAATCTTCTTCAGATTTAGTTATTTCTTTTTGTTAAAATTCTAGCTTTTGTTTTCTACTTGTTTGCCCAAAAAATCAATGAAAGCAAGTAATCCAAATAAGGTTAATATTAATTTATAAATTTAAAATCTAAATGTTAATTTACAAAATTTAAACGTAATTTTTACTTGTTTTTTATTTATTCATACTAAGTATAACAATGATTAAACTATATTTACGTAGTTTTTAAGTTTAATTTATGTTATTTCTATTTGCTAACTTTATAGACTGATCAAAATAAATCATTTAGAGGGAAAAAAAAGAAAATTGTTATCTGGACTTTTATATGTGCGGAAAATGCGAAAAACAGTTTTTTTTCTGATTTTTCGTTTTTTATTTCTCATTTCCGCAAAAATAATTTAATTTTGACGAAACTTGGTGAAAGTATACCTTTCTCTGTCTTAAATAACCTCAAATTTTTTTAGATAAAAAAATCAAGAAGTTTCTGAGCTATTCATTTTTTTCGGCCTGAAACACTTTTTTTTCAAAGAAAACTTCTACTTAAAAAAATCATCGTACAGAGTTCCGCCGGTAATAAATTTTTTCGTTTTGACATAAACTTTTTGGTGAAATAAAAAAAATTGTAATCAGTTCAAAAACATGCTCAAAAATTCAAAAAAGTAAAAAATGACAGTAATTGTTGATAATTTGTTTAAATTTAAAAAAAATCAAAAACTGATTACACCATTCAATTGTACGGAAAAAATACAAAAAAAACTGTCTCATTGTTTCACCCAAAACTATTTTTGTACAATATTACTATAAACATAAGTCGAATAGTGAATAAATAAAATAAATAATATTTTCTTTTCCGTAGGATCGATTAGTGTACTTATTTTTTTTAAAGTTTGATTAATTCATAGATATACAGTGTGTCCAAGATAAGGGTGGGATAGGCATTAGGTTTTAGGAAACGGTAAGAGATACGGGGTGGCTCAGATTAGAAAAAAGTTGTGTTTTTTTATACCTAACAATATGCTGTTTAGAAAGTTTTAAAATTCCGGGTAGTTCCGGAGATATCCGGAAAAACCCGAAATTTTGCAAAATTGTTTAATTTTTTCTGGATTTATTTGAAAACGAATTTTAAAATAAATTACATATTTACAATGCCACTTTTTCGCTCTATACAATGGCGTCAACATCTTTGCAATCCGACGTTTCGTCTTCGAGGGGCCATCATCGGGTTAATTTTTTTAAATGCGTCGCTGCTATTTTTATGTCAAAATCTAAAGTTTATTTAACCAAAATAACCAAAGTATATGCTAAAACGAAGAAAATGATTATCGGCAAAACTCTGTAAGATGATTTTTTTAAGTAATTTTTGTTTGAAAAAAAAAGTGTTTCAGGCCGAAAAAATGAACATATCAGAAACTTCTTGATTTCTTTATCTAAAAAATTTTGAGGTTATTTAAGACAGAGAAAGGTATACTTTCACCAAGTTTCGTCAAAATTAAATTATTTTTGCGGAAATGAGAAATAAAAAACGAAAAATCAGAAAAAAAATGTTGAGGTTACGTTAAAAAGTGACCTCTATAAAAGTTGTAGATTTTTGTATGATCCACAACTTTTGTATTGAATACTTTTTTGTTTGATGTCAACTTTCGCTAGAAATCCCAATGATACAATTTTTCATAACTTTTCAACCCCCCAAATCAACCCTCCGCCGCCCCTGCTCACGCATTTACTTTTTTCAGGTTTATTATAAGCTCTTTTACCATTTCCACTTATAAAAGTCTAGGTAACAATTTTTCTCCAAGTGTATTTTGGTTGGATTATTATGTCTTTGTTTTCAAAAAAATTGAGCGTCCGTATACTTTTTGCTTACATTTATTTGTTTCTTTGAAATCTATATACTTTCGTCAGTGACACCCTGTGATGTAAATAACTACACAGAAAAAAAAAATGTATTAAAAACTTTAACAAAAAACTATTAACTCCGCATATCAAGGTCATATCTGCCTCAATATATTGTTTTAAAAATTTTAAATAAAAGCACAGTATTGTAGTAAAACGTTTTAAGTAACATTTTCAGAATATACAAGGTGTTCCTGAAATAGGTGCTGTCTTTCAACGGGATAATATAACAAACTATTTAAAGCAATGGTTTTTCATGGGAAGTTCACGAAAAGGGTAATACCTACGTATGTTTTTTTCTCTATGGCTGTCTTAATAAAATGAATGCTCAATTTGAAATACAAAACATTGTAAAAAATGATACATTTCAAAACCTGTTGTGTTTTGAACGGCATTCTTCAAAAGGGTGACAATTTCTTTTAGTGTAAGTCAGGGCGACAGATTATTTGACTCAATTCATGCCCTTTCTTCTGATTTAAAATAGATATGGGTGTCGCTCGCAATATATTTTTCACCGCCCTACACCTTGTCAAAGGGGCGACTGTAAACAAGGGTTAACATGTCAGGTCGTAGTTCATCTGTCATTTTCCATCGCCCGTAGGTGTAATAATACTCGTACACATCGAACAAATCCGTATTTTCCAGGTCCAATTATGTATAGTATAAAAAAGGTAGCGTTACGGAAAAGCCAATCCGTTTAATGAAACCGGTGAGTGATGTCGAATTAATTGAAGACCGATAAAAAAAATGCGTAGGGCTTGAACTAATGACTTAATTTTGCAAACGTGTACAGACACGTACTATTTGAGGAGTCAGAAAAAAACGGCTTCTGTAATTTGTAGCAGCCTAAAACGCGAAGGTCTCCCCTTACAAATTTTTTAAATTGCAGGCACTAATAAAAGAATTAAATTCGCAGTTAAAACGCGACGCATTTTCTCGCCATTTAGACGCTTAATATTCCTCTATTACAGCGCCCAAAGAGGAAAAATCTTTTTATAGTCTGCATTCATAACATTTATAACGTCTTTAAAGCATTAAAGTAAAATCACTTCGGCTTTTTGCGCCTTCCTTTCTTCTGTTTATTGGTAACAACTGGAAAAAAAGTAATTTTCATTCTACAAGCTGCATTTCATAAAGTTCTATTACGTAGTTGTCGCATTAGACGGTTGAATAAAGCCTAGTAGATAGGTACGACAAAAAAGTACTTAATATCAATTTAAAAAGCAATAAGCTTTTGAAGATTCGCCATCAACACAACTTACCGTCTGTGCGTCTGCCCGAGTTTCACGAGCATGCATATAAATTTATATAAATAACATCCAAGGTAGATGAATTTTTTTTTGAGGGTTATTTCTCCAGAGATATTTTCT